CCCCTACACTGCTAGACTGGTATCTGGAATAAGTGAGGCAACACGGGCAAAGTCTGCAAAACAGTATCAGACAGAGCATGCAACTGATATCAGCTCTTCTTATTAAATCCCCTCGGCTTCCAGACAAAGTAACTGAAGACACTTAAAGAATCGCAGACAGTTTATCACAGATTCTCTTTGGGAAAAAGAAATTCAAAGTAGTTTTAACACATTTTTAAATAATAGGTTACACAATCCCTACTCAGAATTTTAACCAAAAATGTTGTCTTTTAATAAACAAGACTCACATTTAGGCTCTGTCTGCATTCACAACAGACCAGTTTTCACCGTTAGCCAGATTCAGTCAAACAACTGATAATTTATGATGTTTATATGTTATCAGTTTACATTTGTGGACCCAATCCTAAACATTGCTTTTTGCAAAGTTATCTTAAGTATATGAACAGAAAGACTTTTAGTAGGCAGATTTGAACTGAATTTTATAGCTTGGAAAATAAATTAATAGTATTTTTATTCACCTCTTAGGGTATTAAAAATATAGGATATTTTAACACTTGGTTTATTCAAGTGTTGATAAATAACATCCTTCAACAGTTGCTATATGATCTAGCTCAGTTAACCAGAATGGACTGGGTAGAAAATCTGGATTTTTAAAGAACTTCTCAGGCCTTGATTTAATATGCAAGGTTGGGAGCCCTTTATGTACAGGAGTGATTTATGGTAGAAGTTGGCTTTCTCTTTGCTCTAACATAACAACTGCAAGGTGAGAAACAGCATACTCAGAAAAACAGATCTGGACAAGACAGATCTGGACAGAATATGCCAGCTCACATTACCACTGGCTTATATCAGACAACTTGTCATTTACCTGCCTTAGCATTTATAAAAGTAATCAACTTCAGAAAGCAGTTGCTGCCTCCTCAGCTGGGATGAGTCGTTATCACATCTGTGACCTAGCCTGCTTATAAACTGGAACAGCGGGACTCTGCAGCTGATCCTATGACATTAGCTAATCTGCATACCACAGAAAGAGCCTGAGGCTCTGGAAGGTTCCAAGCCTTGCCTGAGGCCAGGGGCTCAGCCAGATCTGCCCTAAGCTTTCTGTGCGGTTCAGGTCCCTTCCTTTCCACCTTGCTCATGCCTGGTCTCTGTGGGGACCACCTGGTGCCAGAGCATCACCTGCCTGGGCACCTGGGGACGGCCAGCTCTGGAGCCCCAGCTGCTCACCCCCACCAGGAGGAAGAGACAGGAAGCCCTTCCAGGGGATGGCAGAGACTGTGGGGCCAGAAAGAAACAGCCCCCGGGGGCCCCAGGTCCTGAGTGCCCTGGGCTTCCACAGCCCACAGGGAGCCTGAGACCAGCACGAGGGTTTCTGTTCAACTGTGGGGCCGACAGTCCACTTTCCCAAGTGGAGGAGTCCAAGCTAAAGTTGGCTGTGGGACCCTCCTCAGCTCCAGAGCAAGTATGGGGCCAGTGCCCTGCTGCTGTTAGGTGACAGCTTACAAAATGTATGAAATGGCCAGACACAGGTATGTGCGTGCATGTGGGGGAGGGGTATGCATGCACACACATATATGAGCATATGCGTATACACATCATACCAATAACCCAGCAACTTCCATGGGCAACAGCGTTTTAAATCTCTTTAGGACTCAGATAATTGACAACATACAGAATCACATTAACATATTAATTATTACTCATACATAAGCATACTCATATTCTTAACATGCCCTTTGGAAAAAATAGGAATCACTGATAAGACAAATATTCAACCACCTTAATTTTTCTAATTTTGTTTTTGTGAAATTCTGTTTCTCGTTAATGATCAGTTACTAAGCACCAGGCGCTGAGCTAAGAACTTCACTGGGGTCTTTCTTCTGCTAAATCCTTCGGATAACTATGTGATGGAAATACAGACATCCACGTCCTACGCAGATGAGGAAACCGAGGCGCAGGGGATCACACCATTTGCACAGCACAGTGCACAGGCGAGGAACCCGAACTGGGCCCGGGGGGGGGGGGGGGGCGGGGGGGGGTCTCGTCCCGGAAACCAGACTTCCTGCGCCCAGCCCAGCCCCGGTTCCCGCTGAGTGTCTCCCTTCTTCAAGCCCCAACACTTCGCAGCCTATTATTTGACTCATCTTCTCCACAGTGCTGAAAAGCAGAAATAAACTAACATTTTCCTGTAAGGAAGATGTTTTCCCTACCCATCCTGATACACAGGGAACTATGCAAAAACATACACAAAGTGTAGATTAGTCACAGAGACACACAATACGGTCAACTTAAAAATGACTTCAAACGACAGAGTACTTTCTGTCTTTTATAGGATTTATCACTCATTTAGTTGAGGGTTATCAAGAGCAGCCATCAGGGCCGGGCTCCGGGAGAGAATGAAAAGTGCCCTGCGCCCTCTTCTCCCCCAGAAAGCACAGTTTGGTCGTACGGATAAGATACATAAAACGTTCCGTTTTTCATGAAGATCGATCGATTCACCTTTAGACGCTCACTTATCAAAAATGGAAGAACAAAGGATGAAAGTGTTTCTTAGAAATGCCACGGGAAAAGAAAACACCATTTGAGCTCTGTATACCCCAAAGTGGTGCCTTTTTCTGAAGTCAAAGAAAAGGTCCGTGCCCGCCCCTGACAGGCAGTGATCGCCATTTGCTCCCAGAAATAAACAAGAATTTGACGGAGCCAAACAGGCAGATGCAAGTCTGCATGAAGCTAGCAATACTGTTTATGCTTTTACTATTTTTAATATGCTATAAAACCCATTTTGTCCTTTAAAAAATATTTTTTAACAGATTTAATGCCACCGCCTTAACTTAAAACCAAAGGGGTAGACATTTCTCCTTTTATTTTCAGGGGGAAAATTTTGGAGTCATTTTAAAATCAAAGCCTGATTCCTCAAACATCAGGGCTGCTAACAACTCCGGTATTTGTTTTTCAGTTCAATGAGCTTCATGCTGAATACTGATTTGAAGTGTGGTTCACCGTGTAGACTTAAATTGTCCTTCCCACAACTTTATCTGAGAAGCCTGACAGTGGTGACAATCACAGGACTAGTTTTATTGGGTAAGACTATTCTATCTGCAATTTATTCTGACAGGCTCCACAATTTTTAAGTGCAATTAAATCCTAAGAATTTGCCCAGAAAAAAAAAAAAAAAAAAAAAAACTACCACATTTAAAAAAAAAAAATTTTTAAAGAAGGCAAGAAAACAGTTGAATTGAACAACTAATTACTAAGTGGTTGCTCTTTAAAAAAAAAAAAAAAAAAAAGATATTTGACTCACTCTCAAAATCAGTTTCATTGCACAGAGAGGCAACTTTCTGGGTCTGAGAAAGAGGCTTCCAGCAAGTCTAAAGCCACCTGCCTCCGCCTCTGCTGGTAGCCACATCTTCGAAGTGAAGGCTTCCCACAGCCGGGAGGTGGGGGCAGGGGGAGAATGACACTTGCAGAAAACAAAGCTCAGAATTGCCACCACCTGATTCCCCTCCCCAAGCGCACACCAGCTGGCTCCCGTACAGGTGGGAGCAGCTCCTTGCCTTCCCACCCACCACCGCTCAGTCCTCCCGCGCGGCCCCAGAAATGGAATCAGACACAGCTCAGACAAACCAGGTAGAGCATCCCATGTGCCCAAACACGGGCTGCCGGGGCTGAAGCCCTTCTGTGGAACGGTCCAGGAAGCAGGTTCACAAGCATCATTGATCTCATGGCGTGCCTTTTGTGAAATTCTGCTTGCATTTCTAATCCGAAGCTAGGGTCACTATTGTCGGGGAGAAGGGACTCGTGTCCCCAGTCCTTCTAGGTAGCCTACGTTTCAAGTCTTTCTTCTGCAAGAAGCTAACCTGACATTAAAACAGTTATCCAGGTTATGTTCGGAAAATCGGATTTTTTTTAAGTGATGTCAAATTACGCTTGATGTCATGGAACATTTTGTATAAAATGTGAACTTCACGAGAGGTAGAACATCTTCCATGGGACACCTTCGGCTGGCATAATTCTTGTGTTCCAGGAGCAGGTAACTCAACAACCACAGATAGCCCCAGCCACCTGGTGCCTGCAACTGTCCTCACCCCTCCTGACCCCACCCCTACCCCAGCCCCAGTTAGGGCTGACTGTACCCCAGAGACACTCAACCTTTTTCATGCTGCTCCTCCTCCTGATACAATGCCATGCAATGACCCCCTGCCCCCCATCCCGTGTGCCCCCAAGACTCCCACGGCTGATAACACTGAAATGGCCTGGCCTGGCTCAGCCACTGAGGATCCAAGCTCATCGAGAGCAGAGGGCTGACCCCTGCACACCTCCCAGCACCCACACGGCGCCTGTCGCATAGTAGAGCTCCCAGAGATGTCTGCTGACGGCTCTTTTCCTTCGGAGCAACTAAAACAACATGCACTTTAAAACACTAACCTGTAGATCTATCATTTGATCCAGCAATTCCACTACTGGGCATCTACCCAAAAGATCAAAAGTCACTTTATGAAAAAGACACCTGCACTCAAATGTTTATAGCAGCACAGTTCACAATTGCAAAACTGTGGAAACAACCCAAGTGCCCATCAATTCATGAGTGGATTAATAAAATGTGGTATATGTATACCATGGAGTACTATTCAGCTTTAAGAAACAATAGTAATCTAGCACCTCTTGTATTTTCCTGGATAGAGCTGGAACCCATTCTACTAAGTGAAGTATCTCAAGAATGGAAAACCCAGCACCACATGCACTCACCAGCAAATTGGTATTAACAGATCAACACCCAAGTGGACATAGAAGTAACATTTATCGGGTGTCGGGAGGGTGGGAGGGGGGAGGAGGGGAGGGGTATATACAACAACAACGAGTAAGATGTGCAACGTTTGGGGGATGGACATGCTTGAAGCCCTTACTCAAGGGGGGAGGGGGCACGGGCAATATATGTAACTTTAACACTTGTACCCCCATAATACGCTAAAATAAATATACAAAAAATAACACCCACTAACCTGGGATGTGGTATTGCTGCTGCCATTGTTGCTGCTCAGCGTCTTCCCCCGAGACCGTCAGCCCCTCCAAGGCAGAAACCGGGCCATCCTGCTGCGCCTCGTGCCTGGGCCGGAGCTCTGGGCCTGTTAGATGCGGACAAATGTCTACTGAATAAATGAATGAAAGACAATATTGGTACAGAGATCCCAAGCCAAAGCCAAAAACATCTGTAAGTCAAAGCCTACAAATATCTGTATACACAAAACTTTAGGAAAACTGTCCATTTGGTTCTCTCTTTTGGGAATCCCTATTAAAGTCTGCAGAACTCGAACTTCACCTGCTGCAGTGCAGCTTGGTATTAGTGAGGTAAGACCCTGCAGAAGGAGATCACTTCAGCTACTCCTCATAGAGAAGCAGGACTGAGGGTCTGCGGCCTTGAAATGGAGAGCCAGACCCCAGAGCCAGACCCCAGACCCCAGAGCCAGACCCCAGAGCCAGACCCCAGACCCCAGAGCCCCCAGCATGCCCTTCTCGGGCTGCTCATTCCTTTTTCCTGGTGATAGTCTCCCTGCATTGCCCCCGGCCTTGCCTTCCTCTTGGCCACAGCCAACTCACCCTTTAAGACTCATCTCCGGCACCACCTCTCCAAGACCTGTGCCTGGGCCCCTCCCTGCCTGGCAAGGTATAAATCCATCAGTGCTTTGTTACTGTCACTGGGCGCAATGATTTCTTCTTTATCTTTACACCTGCATCACCGCTGCTGAGCGGGGACCTCACCACCTTGCCTCGGGCAGCACCTGGCTTTGCCTTGCTCCCCCACCTACCCTCTCTTGAAGCCTGCTCCCCTTTCCCCTGCCTGCGCCTTCACCCGCTTCCCCCGATTTTAATCATGCAAAATTAAATAAGATGCTTCATAGGTAAAAGGCTCTGTACAACACCTTGAGACCTTGAGGGGAAAAGGTGCATGCTTGGAAGCTAGCAAGAGGAATCTGAGATGAGAAGCTTGCTTTGAGGCAGGCATAGGCACTGCCTCCTGCAGAGGCTGGAGTTCACCTGCTAGTTCTCGACCCCCCGGGGCCAGCCGTCTCCCTTTAGTGTGCACTATGTACACGTGCCGAGTGACAAATGTTGGGCGTGTGGGAGAGAGATGAAGTGGAGTACCCCAGTCTCAGCCATCTCCCTGCCACTTTTGGCAGCTCCAAAATTCACACCAGAATGGCACTTTTTGGAGGGTTTTCTCCCTTGGAGTCCTCCTAAGCGTTGTCTGCTGCCTCCCTGCCTCCTCCCCCGGCTCTTTTTGCCCAAGGGATGCTGGCCCTGGACCCTCTTCCCCTTTTATGAGAGTAAGCTGGTGTCTCTGTGAGGCCAGTGCTGTTGGTTGCACAGTTATTTTCAGGAACCCTTAAAAATGTGCATTGTTAAAACAGGACCGTTTTGCTTTCAGCACTAGATGGATCCCAGAACAGTCAGGTGCAAAACTGAATGCTGGCATGGTGAATCATCCTTCCACGTGGCTTCCATTTTAATTTCAGAAGCACAGTCATGGAGGTCGAGCGCTTGTGTCCAACACAATATAAAATCTAATGAAGAATTCTGACATTTCCTGAGAGTGTGCACAGCCTATGTGCATTTCATTTGCTCTTATGGGCCCTATAAAGAACTCAATCAAATTTGAACAACACGGGATCCTTTATAATAAAATTAAAATCTCTCTAATAATTAAAATAGACAGCGTATTCCCATTTAAATTGGAATGCTCGCTATTTCTGCCCCAAATGTTTCTACCTCTTGAAAGAGCTGATGTTTATGAGAACTTAATATGGGTCACGCAGACCCACGGAGCCAAAATTGGATGGGACAGTAGGAGTTGTGTAACCCAACCCTCCACCCCCTGCGGGAACCCCATCCACGTGCTGCTGGCTCCCTTTCATCCTTTGAAGGACCTCTTAGTACCTTAGGTTCCATTAGTCGTGCGCAGTTTATTTTGGTTCTAGAGGTCAGAGGCAAATGAAGGCACTTGCAGCCCTTTTAAGCTTGGGAGATATTCCTGGCAGGGGGAGAGTGAGACATGGCCACCAGAGGCTGCCCACCTCGGTGCTAAGTCCAGCCAGCCGATGCCTCCTGCAGCTGCTCCTTTATGTAGAGCAGGACACGCGAAATGTTAGCATGGTGTATGTTTAATATGCTAAAGTGTGGCCCTTAGCCCACAACTTTTTATGAATGATCTGAAAATATAGAAGCAGTCTTGAAACAAATAACACTTAAACACCATAGCTACAATTAAAGCTGACCAATGGAAAGGATTTTTGAAGGCCCCTGGAACTAGTTCCCTTTTTTTTTTTTTTTTTAGGAAAAGAAAAGAGGTCCTGAAATCCAGTTCCACCACCCCATTACATGCAAGTCCAACACTTCATAAAGCTCTGAAAGACAAAGGTTGTTTCACAAATGTTGCACGCTACGCCAACGTGAGGATATCTATTTAGAGTCTCCGTTTTGCTCCACTTAAAGTGAATACTCCTAACCACCCAAATGTACGTGCACTTGGGAAGGAAGTACCCCCAGGCTGGAGCATTCCATAATACACAGTCTCCATACCGCATTCCCTTTCTAAAATCCGAAAGGAAAAAAATATAAATTCTAAAAAAAACACCCAGCCCCAAATGTTTTGCAGACAGGTATTGTTAAAGTCTAACATAAGCAGGGGACTGGCGTCTTTTAAGATAAAGAAGTACCTAAGCCAGAGCCAATAGGAGGGCGACGCTTAGGATTAAAACTGAAAGCCTGGCCTTGACCCAAAGCTATCTTTAACAGACACCCAACACGCCACGCCATTTCACTGCTTGTTGGCCTGAACCCAAATATCAATTCTGTGTTGAACCATACATCCAAAGTTGGCATTTTTGTTTTGTTTGCTTTCTCTTTCCACCCCTGCCCCACACCCAAGGGACTCCTCTAATGAGCCAATTTAAAAGGAACCCGAACCTACATATTTTCTTAAACTATCGAATTGGAACAAAATCAGAACATCAAAATATTCTCCAAAAATGACGTGAAGGAAAGCAGGGTTTCATTCGGGGTAAGTGGCTGGCTGAAAAGACACAATAAGGGCAAATGATTTCATGGGTGGGAAAAGGCTTAAGCCACCCATCCATTTTTTAAGACTTTCGCTTGGGAAGAAAGAAAGGAAGCTTTTCAAGTTTTTTAAACAGCTTGAAAATCATGCCACATGAACGTTGTCACCTGGCTGCACTCCAAATCCAGCTCTCTGTTTTATATACCTGTTTTTTTTTCTTCTTCTCCTTTTGATTATCTTATTGTTACTTGCAAGTGTGAACCGAGAAGTACACTCCAACAGGAAGTGCAATTTCTCAGCTGAAGATGAAGACCCTTAGGATGGCCCCCCTCAGGGGCTGTAAAGTTCACAGGAGGAACACAATCCATCTTTAAATGCTAATACTTCTAATTTAGTTAATTTTATTAAATGGTATGAAATGATACCTCGCTCGTATTCAGTAAAATCTAAGATGCCAATTTTTCCCCCTTCAAATTCTTGAGAGAGTTATTTTCATCAGTTTCATTTCTTCCCATACCACAGCAATTGCTAATCTCTTTGTTCCCTGAAGAGTTTTAAAAGTAGCTGTGTTAGTGTCATTTTTATCTTGTTACTTTAATCACGCGCTTATTGACAAGAGCAGAATTTGTCATCCTCTCCAAAGCAAGTCCCATTGCCCGTGTTTCAGCGTGATTCAGAGTGAGCCACGCTCCCCGAGGAAGGTGCGTGAATTCAATCGGTCCAGGTGCACAAGGACATCGCTGGGGTGGCACTTTTCCAAAACTACCCACACCCTGTCCTGGCATAGGGCAACTTCAGAGAAGAGGGTCGCAAGCAAGACAGGGAACAGACAACCTGCCAGAGACAGCGTTTTCGGGGGCCTTCGCCAATATGTGACAGCACTGTTCCAACGTCTTGCTTCTTTCTCGGGAATCTGCTCCTTTTCTTAGGCGAATCAAGAATATCCAAGGCAGACTGAACTGTTTGGGTTTCTGGATTTGCTTTTGTTTGTTTGTTTGTTTGTTTTTCTCTACTTTCTATTGCAATCCAACTGAATCATATTCATTTTTTAAACAATTGAAGATTCCATTTAATTTAAATAGTTTTATGTTGTTTGGAAAAGTCCAGGGACGGGTCCTACGAGCTCAGTGCAGAAGCGCGTCCTGTGAATGGATGCACTCTGAGCTGTTTTCCTCCTTCCTGCCTGCTGAAATGGGAATCTGATTTATAAATCAACATCCCATTGACTGATGGATGACCTACTTTCTGAGTGCTGGGTGCTGACAGAGCCCCAAGAAGTGAGTAAAATGATACCTGCTCACAGGGAGCCCCAGTGTTTCCTCCTCCACCAGAAACATTCCCAAACTCATGATACAGTACGAGCAATAAGCACGGTGCCACGAGACACAGACGGTGCCACGGGACACAGACGGTGCCACGGGACACAGACGGTGCCACGGGACACAGACGGTGCCACGAGACACAGACGGTGCCACGAGACACAGACAGTGCCACGGAGCCCTCCGTGACTACCGGGCGGGGGAGCCAGGTCCACGGGAGCCCGCCGCGGGCCAGGTCAATGTGGGTCTGAGCCCGCGACGAGGAGGCAGAGGCTAGGTCTGAGGGTGCCACCTGGACAGGGGAAGAGAAGGGGGGGAGGCGTTTCAGGTAGGGAAGAGGGTGACAGAGAAGTCCAGAGGCAGGGGGGAAAGGCTTGTTAAAGAGTCAGGGAAGAAACCCGTGTGGCCAAGGCAGGGGATCTCGAAGGCAGGCCTGGGAAGTGCCTGAGGTTGGATTTGGATTTGGGAGTCTCGAAGGCTGCCAGGCTGGGGAGGGGATGCAGAATGCCATGCGACTGGCCGTGGGTGCAGTGCAGACACAAAATAAGAGAACAGAGGCCAAGGAGCTGACCTTGGTGGCAGCAGGACCAGGAAGGGCAAAGAGAAAACAAGAGGGCAAATTTGAGAAAAATCTAAAAATAACTGCTGACTAACACAAAGCAGTCTAACATTAAATATTCAATTTTTGCATGCCCGCTCTTAATTATCCCCTCATAGAGTTAGAAAACAATCCTCTTTCCACAGACCCGAT